CATTATTCTCATCCTAAATCCAAAACACAGCACTATACCAGCTACTAAGAAGAAAATTAACTCTATCCCAGCTGAAACCAGGACACCTGGTGATAATTTTTTTTTCATTGAATTTGAACTTTGTTATTGCTAGAAGTGTATCTAAATAGATGTGTCTGTGTCTGTGTGTGTGTGAGCATGTATGTGTTTGTTTTAATGTAGCCCTAGAATCTCCTTGTGTGTGTCTCTTGAATCAAAGCATTGCCCATATGACTCTGTATGTTCGTGACCATTGTCATAGATAAATTTATAGTATGAGCAATTCTGCACATTTTAAAAGGTATACAAGAATAATGAATAATGCATACCCTACACAACAAATACATCAAGTAGTCACTAAAAAAATATTTACAATATTAAAAAAAAAGGCATGCAGTTGCTAATAACTGGTTTGGCAGGCTGAGAATTTGAATTTATGTTCTGTACAGCTGTTGTCGGGTGTTGACAGAAATGCAAGTAAATAAATAAGAGGATTGTACAAGTGGGAGCATATTAAGTATGGCTGAACCTGAGAATTACTGTGTTTTAATCAGGTTAGACGTGAAGAGAAAATCCAAAGCGGGGAATCTGAGAGCTTAAGTGAATTTTTTTTTTTTTTTTAAATTAATTTTACATTTTTTCCCCACTTTGGAGTCTGGGAAATTTTTGTCCTCCCTCTCTACTAATATTTTACCTGTTGTGACTTACGTGCATTGGTGTTGTGTTCTTTACTGTGGTCTTTGAGACGTTAGCCAAGCTTGTGCCCAGGCATCTGCGTTTTTATGCACGTTCAGGGTTTCCCAACCAAGTGTCTGTGGTTCAGTGTGTGGATGTGAATATGTCATGGTTTAACCCCAGCCAGCAACTAAGCACCACACAACCACTTCCTCATTCCTCCCTGTGGGATGGGGGAGAGAGTCGGAAGAGTAAAAGTGAGAAAACTCATGGGTTGAGATAAAGACAGTTTAATAGGTAAAGCAAAAGTTGCGCACGCAAGCAAAGCAAAACAAGGCATTCATTCACTACTTCCCATTGGCAGGCAGACGTTCAGCCATCTCTAGGATAGGAAAGGAGGGCTCCATCACGCATAACGGTTACTTGGGAAGACAAGTGCCACCACTCTGAGCGTCCCCCCATTCCTTCTTCTTCCCCAAGCTTTATATACTGAGCATGACGCCATACGGTATGGCATAGCCCTTTGGGCAGTCTGGATCAGCTGTCCTGGCTGTGCCCCCTCCCAGCTTCTTCTGCACCTGGCAGAGCACGGGAAGCTGAAAAATCCTTGACTGGTGTAAGCACTGCTTAGCAACAACTAAAACATCAGTGTGTTATCAGCATTATTCTCATCCTAAATCCAAAACATAGCACTATACCAGCTACTAGGAAGAAAATTAACTCTATCCCAGCTGAAACCAGGACAGAATACTTGCATTAACAAATGGTAAACAAATTTAGCAAATTTCTCTATGTGGTCAGCTAGAAAACAGGAGCTAGATATATCTAAATGGTAATTAATGTTTGGCAGCTGAAATGAAAACATTACAAAGCAATGAAAAAATTTAAATTACTGCCTAATAGATTTTTTTTTCAATTGTTCACTGACTTGTAATAGGCTACTGGGGGAAAAAAACCTATTAATTGTCTCTTAGTAACTTTAAATATGCTCAGTGTATTAGTAGGATAGAGGGGATAAGGAAGGCTTCTGTCTGTGGCTCCTTATTTCTTAGGTGGAGTTCTTCTCTGCTTTAGGTGAACAGAGCGCAACAAGACACGATACTGGTGTCTGCCACCAGCTCCAGAGGAAGCGTAGGGATGCCAGCCCCAACGGGGAAAAAAGGGCCCAGGCTTCAGGGTCTGCGTCTCCCGCTGCGTGCTCTGTGCACCCAGTGCTGTTCCTGGCAGATCAACTCACACTCCCCTGGCTGGGTCCATGTGCTCCACTGGCCATTCAGCGGCCAGAGCTTCTGAGGCTTGTGCATTAGGCAGCAGCCTTCTCTTTGACATCTCTAGATGACTTTCTAGTAGCTATACTGGCTCTTTTTGTCTTAATCATAGCACAGCTGAAGTAGCAAGAGCAAGAGAAAACAGTAAGAAAAATATAGTGAGGAGGCTGGCATTTTCATTTTTCTTTCTTCTTGTCAGATATAACTGTTCTTTAATTTTTCAGTGTTTGTTCTTACATGTTTCTACTAATAGTAATTTATTGCTTACTGTACTTTGACTTGCGGTGAATCACAGGAATCAATTTTGTGGCATGGCTGCAGAAAATTCTCAGGTATAAATCAGACTGTTCACTATACTTGTTTAGTATCTTCTTTCCTTCTCTTTTTGATCCCTCATACGAGAAATGCGTGTGTGTGTTTGCACACATTTGAATGCTTTTAGATCGCTGGAGTGCAGGTCTGTGCCAGGATGTTGTAAACTGCAAGATCGAAGCACTGTATATTAGTTACATAACACATGTGCTCACTAGTGTGAACCTGTCTGATATTCTTCTTTATATAAGCCGACCCCTTAGAAATAACCAAGCATATTAATCTCTGTCTGAATATATGTTGCTTATATTTCAGTCTGCACCAACAACCAAAACAGAATCTGGAAAAAACATGCAGTCAACCAAGGTAGATTCTCCTCTTTCACCTTTGACGTGTTGTTGTACTTTGGTCTTTGACTAACTTTGAAAAAAGAGGCTAAAGTCTTTGCTATTTCTGTGCCACATGAAGCTGCCATCTGATTAGTAATATACCTGTGTGCAAAAGAGCTAGGAGCTGACGGGGTGGAAATGCAGTGTTTGGGGGGAACAGTCAGGATGCTTTATTGCTTCACAACAGCTTAAGAAGTGTTCTGTTAACCATCTTTAAATCTGTCTTGTGCTTATTTGAACTGGTGTAGATCATGTTCCATAGCATTGAATGGTGGTAAGGGTAAATGATCTCAATTTTTTATTTTATGACAGCCAACAGACTCTCAAAATAAACAGCCATCTGAAGAGAGGCAAAAGGAACCCAGTGGTGTAAGTTGTATACTTTCTCTCTCTCTCTCTCTCTTTTTTTTTTTTAAATGAGGGCTGCTTGTGGTATTTTTCTTCTTTCTTTCTTTTTTTTGTCTAAAAAAAATTTAAAAACCAAACCAAACAAAGCCAGCCCATAAGTACTTCTGTATCTAATGATAATAGTTTATCTCTACACAGACAAAAAGCCAAACCTCACCTTCTGTGACAACAACTTCTAAACCAAATAATACAGGAATAGTAACTACAACTCAAGCTGACCAGCCTCCACAACCGACCTCCATAGAGACAGCAAAGGTATAGTACAAGTAGCAATCCGATTTTTATTATTTACGTTATTGTAGGGGTTAGAAATCTACATCAAGATGGATTTTCATGCTGAGTATTGTAGAGTGAGACTGGGCCCCCAAAAATCACAATGTAGAAAAGCTCAAAAGCTTTTCTTGTCTTGTGTTTAAAGGTGTGTATGACAAACCTTGTGCCGCTCTAAAATGTGGGACTTAGAGATTTCACACTTTACCCACTAATTAACTTAATCAACATCCTGAATATACCACTTCCAGCTAACCCATGACAGCATTAATGAGTAAGCATCAGATGCGGATACAGTTGCCCAGCCAGATGGTATTGGTAGCTTGTGCTAGTTGCTTGGTGATCCTTATGTGCATCCACCTTTTGTTGTCCTCTTTGTACATCTGTTTTCATTATCCAACACACTCTGGCTGTTAGCCAAGCAAGCAACTTTAAGATGATCAGAATTGTAGGCCTGTTCCCATGTGTTACGTTTTTGGGGCTCCTCTGTCATTCGTGCAAGCTTTTTGCAAGTTCCTTGCAGCTATGTGGGTGTAATTGGTTCTTCGTCAGTCTTTTCCCTTGCCCCTTCACTGCTGAAGGTGAACAGAAGGGACCGTCTGGTCAGTCAAGCAAGTGCTTTGTTTATATGAGCGTTGCCATCATGGAGCTCCTCACCTGTAGACTTTCAGGCATGTTTATAGTAGCAGTGTTGGCTCCAAATACAGCAGGTCAGCAGGTTATCAGTTTGCAGTAGGGCAGCCCATACACCCTGACTGTAAGACTCAAAAAAAAACTAGGAAGAGAAAGGTTGGGGAAAAAGTTGAGGAGGGGTCATTTCAGAGGGCCAAGTGGAGAAAGAGCTGCAGCAAAGTGTGTAGTAGAGTCAAGATTTACATCTTTTGGTCTTCTGATCTGCATGTGTCTGGATGACGAGGCCAGAGTAACATGAAGGGCTCCTGCAGCTCTACTACAACCCACTTTTTTTGCGGTAAATGAGAATGTCAGTAATGCAGAAGTCTGCATTTTGTATTGGTGTTGCTCCTGCACCTAACTCCCTGAAGCAGTTTTCACCCTACCTATTTGAGCAGTATTTGCTGCTGGTGTTAATGGTTTATTGAGAGCTATCGGGTATAAATGAAAGCTTTCTGCACTGCAGATTTCTTTTACTGGCAAAGTAAAAGAAAAAGGTAGAGTACTTAAAATTGCATGCTTCCTTTCTCTCAGCAAAATCACACTGGAAACAGGGTACGTTTCCATACTGTTGCATGCAGATGGTAGCTTGCTCTGCGCAAGCATCTGGATGCTGTGCAGCTGTATTAGCCAGTTGCTGAGTCCAAAAAAATATGCGTGGCCTCAAAGTTGGATGTTCTATCATGCCGGCTGCAGCTACTCAACTTCTAGACCACTCAGCCAGTAGGCAGAACCAGCTTATCTTTTTTATTCAAAGTATAGATGAAGAGGGACAATAGATATGCATGCCTGAGTAGAACATCTTTGTTTTACTTTGTTTTGTCTCTAGAACTTTTAACATAGGTCCATATAGTAAAGCCATCTCTTAATTTTTCTCTTATTTCTCCAGCCTAAGTCTGAGAAGATGTCCACAGCGGCTGGTGCAGGCAAAGCTGGTGCAGGTGCAGCCAGTGCAACTGTGGTTACTGCAGCTGATAAGTCAAGTACTGAGGTTGGTAAACACAGTCCCAGGCAAAGGCTTCCCTTGTAAAAATATCTCAGAGAGTATTTCTTTCTCTGAAATGCTCCAGTTTCAGAAAAAATAAGTTGGTAGCTGCTGAAGTATTGCTATGTAGTAGTTATGAATGGTGGTGAAGGACTATCTGTAATATACTAGTGATGCGTCATTTATGTTTTGTCAAATAGGACTTACTTAGAATCTCTTTTACCACAACTAGCATAAAATTAATTACTTTTTATCTTCAGTTATATTTTTATATATATGCATGTATATCAGCTGGTATATAAATACAAAGGATCTTGTTACTGACATTGGGGAACAAATTTAAGAACAGTTCTCATTGAAAAATTTGGCAAGTTCAGGACCTATTGAAAGAAAGCTTTTGGTTTGGTTTCCAGCAGTTTTCTACAGATTCACCAGATGATTCATATTTTCTTTTTCTTTGTACAGCATGATAACTTCTATAATGGTCTGCTTATTTTTTAGCCTGGTATGGATGAGTCGGCACTAGACAGCCTAATAGATACCCTAGGTGGACCTGAAGATGATGTGCCTACTAGTCCTGTTTACGCTGGTCCAGAAGTTACGGTATTTTACGTTTTTTATTTTTATTTTTTAGAAGCTTCATCTCTAAAATATGTCTGTAGTTGCTCACTACTACATTGATCCAGTATTTGTCACTTTGATCTGCTAAGAGGTAAAATAGAGTTTGCACAGCTGCATTTTAGTGTTGTTTTCAGTAATACAGAAATGATACAGTTATGTATGTATTGCAGTAGAAAACAGCAAAGTATCAACAAACAAAGTTTGTTGCTTTTTCAACTGACTTCCAAGCGTGGTCTCCAGTGGATTTACAAAAGGCAGTAATGGAGGTATAAGAGAGCGTAAACAACCTAGGAGATTTCATTTCTACTTAAGAAAGAGTAAAACATTGAGAATTTGGGGAAGAATGCATACTTTTTCTGAGTTAGAATGGGAGAGCAACATAAGAAGGGTTAAGATTACAAGCTTAATGGCTCAGTGCAGTACTCAGCCATGATAAAAATTTTGGAATTTATAAACATGTAAAATTCAGTCTAGGTACAGCAGTACATTCTATGGTCTGAGGCACTGAAATGGCTTGTGTTAATGCAGAAGGAAACTGGCAATGGAGATGCAGAGTTTTGCTAGATGACATGCATGGTTGAAGCTAGTCAAGATGCATGTGCATGACACTAGGTTCTGAAAGACACTATATAGTCACCGTGCAGAATTGACCCTCTGACCTAGCCATCCCTCGTATTTTCCTTCCAGAAGTATCACTATAGATAGCTCTACATTAGAAATTTATTTCAGTAAACGAGTACAAAAGCATGAATGTGTGCGTTCTTTTCATAGGAAGATATATCTTCAAGATACTTGGAAGAAATGGGTAAACGGGAAGGTAGTCTCCCTCCAGAGTATGTTAAATTGTTGAAGGTGAGTGAGTTAAAAAAAATATTCTTGATGTGTGTTTTCTTTCATATTGTATGTTTTTGCTTTGCATTTACTACAAAATTAATTCTCATTTTAGAGCAAAGGGGATGGCAAAGATGGAGTCCCACCAAAAGCAGATGAACGAGATGAAGTAAGACTTTTTTTTTTTTTTTAATACTGGAAGGTGAAAATAATCCAATTATCATGGGATTCCTAGGAAAGTTTAAATGTTGCCTGTCTTCCAAAAATCCCTGGAAGTGGGAGAGGGCTGTGGGATGCCAGATAAAATAGATACAGTTAAAACTAAATGGAATTTGGCACAGGTGTTTTTAATAAAGAAGCAGGAATTTTCAGGACACTTACTGAAGCTGAAACAAGCCAAATAAATGCTTATAGAGATATTGGGCATAATAATAACAAAGGGCAGAAATAGTAGCTGTGCATGCAGGAGTCTCTTCGTAATGTCTTTAGCAAAGATTACTTGAATTTCTATACTGAGCAAGAGAGTTCTGTAAGCCAGCTTAATTTTACTGTTTATAAGTTTAACATATAAAAATAAAAGCTTATCTAAAAAATGAATCAACCAGTGAGGGGAAGTATCTTTGTTTTCTCTGTGACAGCAACATGTTCTTATGAGGTCATTGTGTGAGTAAGCATGGAGCACACTCAGATTTTAAACCGAGTTTGACAGCATTGATATTTGAACTTTAATAATCATAACCTAGTTTGCAATTTCTTGCTCAGAAACCAATGACAGATGATGAGCTTGCAGAGGCCCTGTCATCTGATTTTACCTGTACTACTGCTGCTGCTGAAGAAAAGAAGAGACTGACAGAGGTATTGATATTTTTCTTGCCATTGCATGCCTTTATTGCAATGAAATATTGCCATTATTACCTTAATATTTTCCTTTAAAATTATTTTGACAGTTTTCCCCTTATTTTTATTTTTGCAAATTTGCCTGTAATTTCATATCTCTCGCTTTGCCGCTATGTAAAAGAAACCAAGCAAGGAAGGAGAAATTGTGCAAGCACAAGCAGCCAGTTCAGTCAAGACCTCAATTCCTCCTAAGGAGAAGAAAACAAAGTCAAAAGAGGTATACATATTCTTTGACTAGTTAACTTCTAATTAAAATTTACAAGCACACGTATTTTATGTGTTCCTGATTTGTAAAGATGCTCATCATCCTCATTTGCAGTTGTAAATCCTGTTTATCACAGAAAGTATAGGAATAATGGGTGTTGCCATTGCTCAGGCCCTTAACTGTACCTTAAAGATCCGGCCTTCATGGGTCAGATGATTTTTCCTTCTGGATTCTTCTGCAGAATAACTGTAGTTCTTCTGACTGCAGGCAATAGAGTAGAAAAACGTATGTGTTTTCTTGGCTATGTGAGGTGTGTTTAAAACTTGGATATGATGTCATTTTCTCATGTTTTACAAACTTTTCTTTTTTGCTCTGTAGAGAGCAAGTGTGACCTTACACTTTCTGGGTTTGCCATTTCAAAGCATATGGCAATTGCGTTATGTGATGCTGTACTTTTTTTTTTTTTTCTTTTTTCCTCTCCTTAAGAGGAGATATGCCTTGATTAGACTGTGCTAATCTTACCACATAATTTTCCATGTCCTGCACTGCAATGTTAAGGAAATCAGGTAAAGCCAAACAGAAATGACCAGTCTGGTGCTGTCTGTTTGCTTCATATACAGCATAAAAGATATGTAAGGTAAAACCTGTGTCAAAGAAATAATGAAATTATTTTCCTTTTTTTTTAAATACAGGAAATAAAAGATGATGCAGTGGAAGCTCTTCTTGATACTCTTGGTGGACCTGAACCTGAACCTGAAGAAGATCTTAGCCCTGTTGTAGAGGTGTCAGAGGTATAATCTTATGCCTTTTTATAGCAGCTTTCAGACTCTCCTGTGGAATCCCAAGTCCTCTTTGTTAGATACTGTACAAATGTGGAAAATAATAACAAAGCAACTTTCATATCAAAAGCCTATGTAATGTCTGAGTCTTAAGTGAATAAGACAGTTAAGAAATGAAGAACTGCCGAGTGGATACGGATAGAATAGAATATAGTAAGATGGTCTGGAAAATGATAACCATTTCATTTGGCTATGCAAGCAGACACACATACACCTTTCCCTGCGTTAGCTGGAGTTGCTCTGTTTTCCCCAAGCACTGGGTATAATTTATAGCAAGCTTTTGTTTGCATGAATTTGCTGTTTGATTTTTAATTAACTTTTTGGGGTTTTAGTGCATGTACTCCTTTTTCTATCAAACCCCGTTATATTTCTAATTTGGGTCTTGCCTCTTGCTGTGTCTTCTAAGACTTCTGTTTTTCTTCAACAGTTAGATTTTAACAGCAGCCCTATGTTTGCATGTTAACTTTGACTTTTCAGTTTAGTTTTTCAAACTCTGCCTATAACCCTACTAATATCAGTTATTTTCCCCTGTCTTCACTTACAGCTCAGA